TTTCTGTGTTTACTCGTCATCTTATTTTTTTCTTTCCTTTTTCCTAAGTGCATGTGCTGCTGTAGCAAGGGAATTTCCCCACTGTAGGATCAGTAAAGTCTATTCTATGCTAGTGTAGACAGCTGTTGTATGGAATGGAGAAAAATTATCCTGGTACAGAAGAAAAAAAACTTTTTAAAATTATGATTTGGAGCAGGGCGGCAAATCTGTAAGTTAGCAACAACTCTAAGAAACCCTTAGACAGAAACACAGAAGGGACACATTTAACATGTTCTATTGACACCAAGTGTGTCGTCTTGACTGATTAGAACATTTCTGTTCATTACTTTATGTCTCGAGTTACTCGTCTGGAAAAATACACCAAGACCTCAGACGTAGCAGCACATTCTATCTAATGGGGAAACTGGCACTTCATTACTACAATACAAAGTCTTCACATCCTGTTTGAACAAGCAAATGAAATGACAAACTGCCAAATTCTTTCAAAGTTAATTGCACAAAAAGTAGGAAAATGAGAAAACCCTAACACAAGCAGAGCTTTCTTCTTACTGCTCAATTATGGTTTAGTAGCAGCACAGGATGAACGCTTCACTCTGCAATAGAAGGAAACAAAAGAGATTGTCTGCTGTGATTTTGGGAGAACTACCCAAGTCGCCGTCTTTCTGTATGAAGACAGCTGAAAGGAAAGCTATCAATCCAAGCTGTCCAGTGCTGCTCTGCTCTTTTCTTAACATCCTTATTGAAACCTAGTGCAGCTTTGATCTTAATGTTTCATCAGCATTGTGGTTGTATTCTTTCTGTTTTTCCTTTCTCTGGTCTGATCACCCTTCGGCACTTGTTTCCTGTTAACCTTAAAACAAAAGTATGAAATAAACCTGCTGCAGGGAATCTTGTTTGATTATTGCATAATCAAGTAACGAAATAGCCTTTGTGCACAGCTTCTGTCCAAAAGCCAGCGTGAAATACAACCAGCAGATTCAGCTCTAACACCTCCAGCATGGTCTTTTGTGAGTGTGATTGCTGCTACTCATCTTCCACTCCAGGGAGACTCTAAAAAGAGGTGTTATGGGACGGACTGAAAGGAGACTGGTTATTGGAGCTTCCTCTTATCTCCAAACTGCAGTACTGCAGCTGGTAGTTCCTCTGATTTTGGAGGAAAACTTGTGCACACTGGCTCTGTGGCGGTGTCTGTTTGAGCACCAGAGCATGCATGTCAGCTGTATTTGTATGCTAATGTCTGCCTCTGTGTGAGTTTTGTATATAGAAGCGGATGTAAATTTTAAAATAAGAAACAACCTGCCCTCGTCAGATGGGGAATCTTGTGGAACCTCACAAGATCGTACAACTTAGGAGTAAATAAACATGGTAGGGGATGCTTCTATCATCTCGCTTTCTGATTGGCTACATGTCATATTCAACTGGCAACATGTTTGTTTGTCCTTGAATAACAGACCTGGAGAATCCAATCTGTTAAACAATCCCAATTTATGCTTGAGGCAATGGCAGCATTATTTCAAACAGAACAGAGAATTCTTAAAGTGACACTGTGCATTTTGTCCTTAAATCTCTGGAAATATCGATCGAAATGAATAAAATGATGCCAAGTCACTGAAAAATATTGATGCCATGTTTCCTTCTAGCCAGCTCAGGGTCCTGCGCCTGAAAGTTATATTTTATAGTTTGTCATGGTGTCTCTTCTTTTATGCTATATTTTTGTGTTTTGTTACCAGAATGTTGTTTTTAGTGCTTTATCTGCATTTCTGTGTTTTGGTGTATTTGTTTTTACCTTTTTGTCAAACACTTTGGTGATGTAAACTGCTATAAATAGAGCAGGCTTGGGTAAAGATGGCGCCGTCTGTTGTGGCTTGCCATCTGGTTTACCGTTTGCCATTTGTGCTTTTTGTACTTTTGTCTCTGTTTTTGAGTCTCCTAGTGTCTGATTCCTGTCCCACCCTCACCTATGACCGAGCTACTCTTCTGGATCTCCGGCAGAGGTTCGAGTCTCTCCAACTTCACTATGTCTTATTCAAGCAATCGTTTGGGAACCTGTTTGATGGAGTTCCGCCCTTCCTCCTCTCCTCCGCCTGCGGCCTGGTGGGGCCGCGGTGGAAGCGGCGGCGGCGCGGCAGGCGTAGTGGCGCTCATGTCCAGCTCCGAGCTTCCTGAATGTGCCAGTTCAGTGGCAACGTTTCTTCTCGGGTTTGGGTCTGGTTCCCTGATGATTCCTCGGAACACAACATCCAGATTCTCCACAGGCAGGACAGCGATCCTGTCAGCTGGGGATCCAAACGGAGGCGTCGTATTGGCGGGGTGAACTGGAGGAATCTTACCTATCCTGTGAGGTCCGGCGAAGAGCGTCCTCGCCCTTGTTTGTCCTCAACTTCCTCGTCTTCTCTCAGGATTGCTCTACTAAATGTTCGTTCGCTGGGGAATAAAACCGTGCTTTTAAAGGATTTTTTTTATCGATAGTGGATTAACTTTGTTCTGCATGACGGAGACGTGGGTCCCACCGGGTGAGTCAGCAACACTTGCTGAACTTTGTCCGTCAAATTGTTCTGTTGTGAATGATCCCAGACTGTGACTATGTACTCATCCTCCCTCCCCCTCAAGCGCTTCCCGGGCTCATCACCCCCCACCAGCTTCGAGGTCTCTGTTTTTGAACTCAGTCTCTCCCCTCCAATTATTTTTATTCTACGTTACCGACCACCAAAATGTAACTCTGCTTTTATTACAGACTTTTCTGACCTTTTAGCTGAATATCTCCCCAGGTATGACCAAGGTATTATCCTTGGTAATTTTAATATTCACGCTTGTTGTTTGTCGAATCCTCTGGTGAGAGATTTATCAGATGTTCTGGTTTCATTTGGCCTCCAGCAACTGGTCAATGTTCCTACTCATGAGCACTCTCACACACTGGATTTAGTTTTATCATTTGGACTGAAGGTGCAGGACTTGGTTGTTCACCCTGTCAGTTTCTCAGATCATTTTTCAGTCGTTTTTAACATCTCTGCCATGTTGCCTGTGGTGAGAAGGCAGGCTTCTCGCAACTCAAGGCACATCTCTCCCTCCACGACTGCCTCAATACTGTCCATCCTGGAGGTTGAATTATCCAATCCTTCCTCATCTGGGATCACCACGGATGTGGATGGGCTTTTAAATTCTTTTAATTTGACTTGTATGTCGTCTTTTAAACAGTGACCATCATAAAAACGTACAAACATACAAAGTTGAGCAACATCCGAGTTGTCCGTTGATTCATCCACAGCCAGGGATATGAAATCAGCCTTCCTCGGTTGATCAAGAAGTGTCAAAAACATCCGTGGCTAAAGCATCCACTCTTCCCGCAGCGGTTGTATCAGACAGTGGAATTGATTTAATCGAAGTTACAACTTGCTCTTTCACTTTTTCATCCGTCACCACTTCCTCAACAGCAGGTTGTATGCATTCTTTCACCATTTCAGCATCTGTAAATGGTCGTTTATTTTTAGTCAATATCCATGCGATTCGCAGAGATGCTGTTGTAGCTTTCTGCTGCAACGTGCAGGTTCGGGTGAAATGCACACAACTCAGCTGACAGTTTTGGCTCAGTGTCTTTATTTTTATCTGTCGAACCTCAAAGCCTGGTGGATATTCATTATCAAAGTTAGCATGACTCGTCTTGAAGTGCCTCCGCACCTTGTGTTCTTTATTTACCGAGCAAATGACGAGGCAGGCAAGGCACCTGGGTTTCCCCTCAGCATTGTGAATGTGTGCATACTTATCAGTCCACTCGTTAAATTTTCTATTTTCAGTGTCAAATTTACGTCTCTTCTCTTTTGAATGTGACATGTTTTTTCCAAGAAATCGCTGTTATAAATCATCACATACTTTCCATCAGGAGCTGCGCAACTTTTTGTAAAACCTGCCGTTTACAGGCACTGAAGAGAATAATAGTGTCACCGACCTGTTGGATGTGTCCCTTACGCTCCAAAACGTGCTGTAAACGACGCAACGTGCCGTAAACAGCGCAAAATGTTGTAAACTGCCGCGATTACGGTTTAGCCATCAGCTGCTAATAACTGCGACACAGCTACTTAAAAAACTGTTTATCAAGAAGTATGAAGACAATGGGCTGGTCCAAAATGCTTGCTGGGCCGGTTCTGGCCCTAGGGCCGCCTATTGAACAGGGCTGGATTAAGGTGTTTGCACAGCGACGAGATTGGGTTTGGTTTTAGTTTGACCACAGGTAATTAATACTGGACACTAGGGGGTGCTAAAAGCAAACAAAACTGCCAAGTGTGCCTTTAAAGGAAATACTGTACCTTCATTCTGCACACCTCTAAATGCCTGTGGAGATATTTAAATTATTAAATTATTTTATATATATCTATATCTATATATATATCTATATATCTATATATGTGTATATATATATATATATATATATATATATATATATATATATATATATATATATATATATATATATATATATCTTTTTATTAAATAGCTCCATATTCTACCTTTAACGGCTCACTTTTAAACAGTCCTGAATAGTCTTAAAGCTGGTGTATGGAGCAAAACCCTGTTTCAGGCTTTTAAAAGAAGAAATTCAGCTTATGGGAAAAAGGGAGGTTTCACATCCTTATCCATTATTGATAGCACCTTAAGCCTTCCTTGCACTCGAGATGATAAACTTAAAGCAGAAGTGGCACGTCCACAGCAGACCACAGACAAGGGGGGAGACGACGGGGGAGGATTTGTGTTTGAAATTTGAATTTTACCATTTTCCCTGGCTGTGACTCATCCTTTGATGTCAAATCACTGTTTGCCAGGAATAGCAATTAGCTCCTGATAAACTGTGTCAGACATGAATCCTGTCCTTTGTGTTCAGCAAGGTGAAGCTAGATTTAGGTTAAAGGTTCAATGCTCTGTGCACTTGTTTACAACTTTCAAGTCATTTCAATTAAATTAAAAGCATTGTTACAGTACAGAGCTCTTAAGTCAGCCAAGGCACTTACATTGGCAGCTCGTTTCTCTTCAGTGCAGTATTCAGTCTTCAGCGTGTGAAGATTCCTGTAAGAGATGCGTGAAAAACTGTTAGATTTGTCTCCCAATCGTGTTGCCCCTGTCAACTGGAGGAGACAACCTGAGCTATTTTAGGATGCACACATGTCCTGATATACAAACAAAAACTCTGAGGATGAGTCTGTGTCGTGCAGAGGAAAATCAGACATAATAATCAGATTCAGGGCGGAAAAAGAGTCTGAGGGGTATTTGTGTGTGAGCACTGGGGACTAAATCAGCTCCACCTTGTCTTCTTGCTCCAGTCTGCCCTATTTCCTCTGCCGTTTTCCTTCTTCTTGGGGAAGAAAGCGCCAACTAGCTTTGGCGTATTTCAGTCACAGCAGTCTCCTTCTCATCTGAAACCCAGATGATTCAAAACACCTGCAGTGTTATGACAACTATGACTGCCTCCAACCAGGGTCTCTAAAAGCAAGCGGCTCACAGCTTGAAGTCTCGGACACAAGATTGAGAGTATGCACACCGCTGCACTTTTGGACAGCTTCTTTCAATCTCCTGTTGCCAAATTAAAACTCAGCTGAGTAAGAGATCAAACTTCTCAGCCGTGCTTTGACAAGCACCGCATGAAGATTTCATGGAATCATGCATCAAAGTGTGTTTTGGAATCTTCCTCAGAAATTCAGTGAGATCCCCTTTTGTTCACCAGTCCTGCAACTGTTCCAGTATTCAGCGTGTTGATAGGCACCTTCTTGACGTCGCTTTTCATCTGTGTTTATGTCAAGTTTTCGTTTTGCATCAAACTCACATCACAAAACAACTCCTGGTTATTCTCTTTAATGTTTTTAATAAGTGATGGAAGCATTTGATTGTGCCAAGAGAAAGAAACGAAACATTTGATGCAGATGGAGCATTCCCTCATGAATATCCTTCCTGTTTTACATGCACATGACACAGAAACATATCTACAAGGTAAGAGATTTCTCATATTTATTTAATCTTTTTGTTTTGAACAGAATAAATTCTCAGCAGATTTAACAGCAAAGAATCCCACACAAATTGTTTTAGTGAATCCAACCATACATTTGAAGTCAAACAAGAATAAAAAAATGTCTTGGGTTGCATTTAAGAAGCTGGCTCTAGGAGTAGCAACTGCTATCTGGTGGAAGGTGGTTTCCTACCCTCTCCCCAGCCACTTGGGCCAGCTCCTCTGGGGGAATCCTAAAGTGTCCCCTGCCAGATGAGAGACATAGTCCCTCCAGCGTGTCCTGGGTCTTATTTCAGTCTCCTGGTTGGACGTGCCCAGAAAACCTCACCAGGGAGGCATCCAGGAGGCATCCTAAACAGGAGCCTGAGCCACCACAACTGGTTCCTTTTCAATAAGGAGGAGCAGCTGATCTACTCCGAGCCCCTCCCGAAAAACTGAGCTTCTCACCCTATCTCTAATGGAAAACCCATCCACCCTGCAGAATTTTTTTTTGGCTGCTTGTATCCACAATCTAATTCTTTCGGTCACTCCCCAAAGACCATATGTGAGTGTAAGAACGTAGACTGACTGATAAATGGGGAACTTTGGCTTTCTGGCTCAGCTCTCTCCTCATCACAACAGACCGGTACACCGCCCACATGTTTGCAAGTTTTCTGTACACTTTTCTTTTAAAAACACAATGCTGAAGGTTGAAGGCCACCCCGAAAGGTTACGTTCTTCAACGGCCTTATCGGAACATGCTATTGATGCAGCCTGCTCAGAACGTCCACGACACTCACACACTCATCATAGCTTGGATTTATTTTCTTTCTCTGTCTAAAATCAGCAAACACAAAATTCAAAAGCACTGTGACTTTTTTCAATAAAATTTCAAGCAATAAAATACACACACACACACACACACACACACACACGCACGCACACACATACACACACGCGCACGCACGCACGCACGCACGCACACACACACACACACACACACACACACACACACACACACACACACACACGCACGCACACACATACACACACGCGCACGCACGCACGCACGCACGCACACACACACACACACACACACACACACACACACACACACACACACACACACACACACACACACACACACACACACACACACAAATACACAATTTTGACACAGCAAAATTGAGTGAAAGTAAATCACCTGCTGACAAAAACAATAAATATTAATGGATAAAACTGATGCCCCCCCCACACCTCCATCCTTTCATTCTCACCATGAGCGGCTGAGGCCCCATCACAGCACCATTAGACTTCCTTTCACCTCCTCAGAGAACAGAGTCTCTGTCTTAAACCCATTCATAAAGCTCAGGTGATGCTGAATGAAAGACAAATGAAAAGCACTTTATGGAGTTTCAGGAATTGAATGGTAGTGAATGGACCTCCTGCGAAACTCTTCTTCACTCGCCTCGCTGCAGATTTAAGGGATTAATGTCAAACTGCACGTCACGACACTGGGTTTGTTGGGGCACAGAGTGAAATAAATTAGAAATGAGATCAGGGAAAGCGAATGAGGTATCAGGCTGGAGGGATCTGCTGATTGGGCTCTTCATGTAGGGAAATGCATTATAGATGCCTGCTCGGAGCCTGGAGAGAATCATTCTCTCTGATCCAATACATCTGATGGTATTTAAGCATGCTTTGCAGGTTTGGAGAACTGACTTTACGGAGAATCAATTATGTGAAATTAAATGTTTCTGATTGTGCAGATGAGCTGATTTCGTTTGGTTCTAAACATTCCAATTGCATCACGAACGCGAAGTAGCCTGACAGAACTTACTTATAGCCATAGAACTATGAAAAAGTAATTAGTGACTGGTTATTAGAGTATTCTGTGCAATGTTCTGCATCGACCAGCTGGATCAGGTGCCTGCACAGATGAAAAATACAAAATGGAATCAAACAAGTGTAATAATAAAAAAAGATTATTGATCAGTCAGCATGAACACAGAATCAAGAAAATAAATATAATATATTAATAAGTCACTGGAGTCACTGGATAGGGGGCTATGGCTAACTTAATGGTTATAGTCTAAGAGAGTATGGGACTCATTAGAATCATCTCACTCATAAACAAATCACAAATAAGAAAACGGTATCTCATTACTTAAAGGGATAATATGCAACTTCTTCATAATTTTAAATCATTTTCAAGCCAGTATGTGCTAAAACGATTCTTTACTGGGTTAATGACATGGCACTCAGATCCCCGCCACCCTCTGTGGCCAGAATATCACACTTGCAACTTCAGAGTGGTGCTCTGGTCCCTGATGGTCTTAGAAAATGCAGAGCTGACATGCCCAAGAGGACTTGGTCTTCTTCCAGTTAGATAAAGGAGTTAAAAGGATTCTTTGCAACTTTTTCATATTTTTAAATCATTTTCTTGAGCCAGTTTGTACTAAAATGACCCTTTACAGGGTTGATGAAAGGCCATGAATGGCCCCTATGGCCAGAATATTACAGTTGCAACTTCAGACTGGCGGGGCGCTCTGTTGGGACTTTTTGAGCTGACATACCTGGCACTGCAGTCCAGTTCCAGCACATTTCAGATCATGAACCCAGCTGATTTGTTTAATTTAGTGATGAATCACTCCTGTAGACACTAATGAAGGCTGGGGAAACATTTCAGCTGTTGGATTAAGGGGTTAAAAAAACAAACGCACAGCGAGGAGATAGGTTTTGCTTTTTGTTATACAAACGGACATGAGGGGGTGCTAAAGGCTAGCCAAAACTGCCTAGTTCCCCTTTACGCCGGGGACACACTGGCCGCGGAAGCGCCGCGAAAATGGGACCGCCTTCATTCGGTGCCCTTGTTAAGCTATTCTATAGACCACAAGGGCCGCCGAAGCGCCGCGAATCGCCTCGCGCCGGCGCTCCAGCCCGCGCCGTGCAGCGATCATTTCGGCGTCGGCTCTATTTTTTTTCGCGAGCCGCGGGTGAATCGCGCCAATTCTGGCAGGAAGTCAAACCTAGACATAAGAGGCAGGCCGGTAAAGTTAACAAAATAAAGCATTTCAAAATAAAATTCCGCAATAGTCAAATGTGTTTGTAATCAGACACTGCAGAAAAACCACACGAACACACACACATACACACATCGAACTTGTGTGCGTGTGTGACCACGTGAAGGGGTGTGTGGTTTTGGGTGCCTTTTCACGGAGCAAACAGGACAGAGAGGCAGAAAGTCTGAGGCAAGCAGTTAAGATGGAGGACTATAAATGAATTATGGAAGTTGAGAAACACAAGGAGCTGTACGACCCCCGAAAAACATGATTATTTACGTACCCATTTTGGAAGAAACTGCTAGGATACAGCTGCAGAATTGGAGCGGGTTCCAAGAGATTCAACTGGCAGAAACAACTCACACCATAGGTTCACACACACACACACACACACACACACACACACACACACACACACACACACACACACACACACACACACACACACACACACACACACACACACACACACACACACACACGTACAAACACTCAAACGTAGAGGAAAGGAGCTGAGAAAAGGCAGAGAGGAAATGGAGGACACCAAGTGTTTAAAAGAAAAACTACAGCTGAGTCGAGGCGCGCGGGGGTGTTTTGTAAAATAATTGTAATGAAATTGGAAGAGACCTCAAGAAGAATAGCTCCACACTATGGTGGGAGCTAATGAGGTTCTCAATAAATAAATAAAAATAAATAAACAATAAGTGGATCCCACTCCCCCCACTTCTGCAGAAAAGGTTATTTTTTTTATTTCATCCCTATGAACATCACCAACGCTGCAGAGCCACAGATAGCGCGGGTAAAGCTGAGCCTTTGCATTACTCATGTTTTCAGTACTTATTGATTTCCTGAGTCACCTGTTTGTCTTTAAAATTTATTTGATGAAAACCCAGACTTTCTCTTTTTGTTCCTTTTGAATTTAGTCATTTTCTAAGATCTTTAAATGGCTGTGTTTTTACTTATATTATTGTAAAGTAATCCTTAACCCTCTCACTGTCTTTATGGGTGACCCCGCAAGGAAAGTT